AAAAAAAAAACACAAATATCAATTATAAATACATCTCACAATTAAAAAAACATCCTTTTACTATAAAAAGGATTCATTTTCTTCTTTATTTAAACACCCATTGGGGCTTGGGTGATGGATGCTGAACCCCGCACGGGGTGTATGTACACCTCTCCCCACAGCACAGCAACTGGCTGCTGGGCTTGGTTTGTATGAGGATTCAACTCAGAAATAAAATATTTTATTTTAAAAAAAAAACACCAGAAATACGTTTGTTTTAGTATTTTATTCTACAGAAATTAATATAAATAAAAATAAACAAGTTTTACAAAAAATTTTTTTTTCCCGTTTCAGTATATTCTGAACTGCTGCAACAAGGCTGCTGCTGCTGCTGCTGCTGCTGCTGCTGCTGCTGCTGCTGCTGCTGCTGCTGGCGTGAGTAGGCGGCGGCATATGAGGTGTATTGTTTGTGTTTTTGGTTAAAATATTTATTAAAATTGTTTCTTTTTGTGATTAAAACTCATTTAAACTAAAAAAAAAGAAATACAAAACAAAAGCTAATGCAGCTGTTTTGCTTTCTCTGCTTTCTCTTGAGGCCTCTCGCGGCTAGTTAAGGCTGTCGAGCTGATACGAGGATGGCCATAAAGAATGAGGAATTTGTGTATTTTATTTCTCTGAATTAAAACATTTATTTTATTGATTTAAAAAGAAGAAATATTTGCCTTTTTATCTCCATACAGACAGGCTACAGCATACACATATATCCCTCTGCTTTCTCTGTTTCTGCATCTCTCACACCACCGCCGGGTGTATAGGCAGCTCAGCAAGATGCACGTTGCTAATGTTGTATGGTTGGTGCTGGGTTTGACTTTTCTTGTGACTATAACAGCAGTATTAACAACAACATGTTTAGGTTCTGTACTTTTACGTTGTTTATCTCTCCCTTTTCTTTTTTTATATAAAGCAGCAACAGGCAGAGATCTATGCCCTAGGCGTCGGCGCCCCCTTGTTGCTGCTGCAAGCGATATTCCGAGTGCAGCAGCATCTCAGCTCTCTGATGAAAGAGAAAAGAAAAGCAGCAGCAGAACAAGAGCGTCAAACACCACACACAACCACAAAGACACATCCCGCTGCAGCCGTATACACCCAAACAAAGAGCAGCAACAGCAGCAGCAGCAGCAGCAGCAGCAGCAAAACAACTGCAGGTTATCATCTCCGTCAAATAGTCTTTTAGGTGAAGCAACAGCTTCTGCTGTTTCTTCTTCTTCTCCGGCCACTGTTGTCCCTCGTACTCCTGCTGCAGCAGCGCTTGCTGCTGCTGCAGCAGCAGCAGCAAGCCCTCCCCCTCCTGCTGCTGCTGCTGCTCCAACACTGGCTACAGGTTATGCAGCTACTGCTGCTGCTCCTGCTGCAGCTGCTGCAGAGAGCCACGACGCACCAGGGGCATTCAGTATACCCATGGATAGGACTGCAGCAGCTCCAGCAGCAGCAGCAGCAGCAGCAGCAGCAGCAGCAGAAGCAGAAGCAGAAGCAGCTGAAATAAGAGAAGCAGCAGCAAGAAGAGAAGCAGCAGGAGAGGGGACGTCAACAAGCTCTAAGTGGCCTCAGCAGCAGCAGCAGCAGCAGCAGCAGCAGCAGCAGCTGACCCCCGCAGCAGCTTCTGCTGCAGCAGATGCACCTTTCGCAGCTCTCAGCAGCAGCAGCGGTTCACCTCCTGCAGCTGCAGCAGATGGTGCAGCAGTAAAAGTAGCAGCAGCAGCAGATGCTGCAGCAGCACAAGCAGCAGCAGCAGCAGATGCTGCAGCATCACAAGCAGAAGCAGCAGCAACAGCAGCAGCAGCAGCAGCAGCAACTCAAGCTGCTGTCTGTACACCTGATATTCGTATTCGAATTTATACTGATAGCTCAGCAGACACCGCAAAGATGCAGCAGCACGCTGCTGCTGCTGCTCCTGCTGCTGCTGCTGCTGCTGCTGCTCCTGCTGCTGCTGCTGCTGAGAGCGAAGGCCGCGAGGCAAAGGCTGTGAAAGCAGCAGCAGCAGCAGAAGATGCTGCTGCTGCTGCTAAAAGACAGGAAGAAGCTGCTGCTGCTGCAGCTCTTGCTGCTGCTGCTCCAACTCCTGCTGCTGCAGCAGCAGCAGCAGCAGCAGCAGCAGCAGCAGCAGAAGATTCATTGGTATGATAGCTGCATGCGTCCTTCTCTTTGTTTTTTTCATTCTTTCTTTTTTTTTGTTTCTTTCGCTTGTTTGTCTCAATCATATATATATATATATA